TGAGGTTAGCCTGGCCGGCGACGAGAATTCCAATAGCGGCGGAGAAAATGACGACGTCGGCGACGGTATTGTCGTTGGCGAAGAGGCGGATGGCGTTGCCGGAGAAGTTACGCTCGCCGGGATCGCTGCCGGCGGTGATGTGTTGACCGAGAAAGGAATTGGTTATGAAGGTTTCGTGGCCGTCTTTGATCCAGATGCCGTCGGTGGAGAAGTGGACGATGTAGCAGCCGTCTATGAGGGTGCGGAGGGAATCGACGACGGCGATGCCGCCGGAGCGGTAGTTGCCGTCGAGGAGGAGGCCGGCGAGGGTGATGTATTCGTAGCTGTAGGCGGAGGAGGAGGTGGAGGTTGAGGACCACAGCTCAATTAGGTATCTGTTTGTTGGGAAGTCATCGGAAGCTAGCAATGAGCCGCTGTGGATCTATGGAACAAAAAAAATAAAATAAAATAAAATAAATAAAAAAAAATAAATTTATTTAAAAGAATAAATTCATAAAAAAATATTATTTTTTAAAATTTTGACTAATGCTTTAATATTTTATTATTTTATTATTCTAATAAATAAAATTATCCATTAAATAACATTGTGAAAAAAAGTAAATATAAAATTATGTATTATTGTTAAAATTGGCTACCTTGAGATTGCCTGCGGGAGAGGAAGGGAGAGTGATGGGGCTGCTGATTAAGTAGGAACCGCCGTCGAGATGGATCTCTGCGCCGCCGAGATCGGCGATTCCTGCGTAGAGGGATCGGTTGGACGGTAGTCTGAAGGCGTCCGAGAGGGCGCGAGCAATCGCGGCCGTTGAATCCGTTTTGCCGGTGGGATCAGCGCCGTATTCCGTCAGATGGTACACCCGGGAGGAGGAGCTCTGCACAGATGCACAAGTGTGAAAGCTTAATTTTGTATTGGATATTAAATTTATTTTGAAATATAAATAAATACTTAAATAGTCAATTAGAATAAAATTTTATATAAATATTTATGTAAATGACCATTTTTTAAAAATTAATAAGTTTTAAAGGCTTTAAAAATAAAAATAATAAATTAAATTAAATTATAGAACTGCCGAAATGGAATCCCAGTTTTATAGGAAGTATTATTCCTATAAAATTCTCTGTATTATTAAATAATAATAATATAATTTTGGGGCATCTTTTTGGTGTTTACATGTCTTAACTCCGAAATTTTTTTTTTTTACATTTGTGTCATCCAACTGAAAAATTATTCAGTGCTGCAGAGATGCATGCGGTATCTGATCTCCACCGTTCATCACTGTTTCGGTAGGATTTTTTTTTATCTCCACCGTTCATCACTGTTTCGGTAGGATTTTTAAAAAAAAAAAAAGAAAATTGAAAGTGGGTCCAATAAAAGCGATGATCGACAGTGAAAATCGGACACCGCATGCATCTCTGAATGCGGTGTCTGCACGTTCCATCCAACTCTTCATTTCCCGTCAAAGAAATGCCATCATTTCAACTTTCAAAAAATGAAAAGCAATTTGTCACAAGTGTAACGTGGTATGTATGTAAAACCGAAATATAGGCTTTAGAAATGTAAAAACAAAGGAATTAAAGACAGCTGATAAAACTTCATATAAAATCCTTGTTATTCTTCTACTTTTATTATTAGTAATAAATTTATAGTTGAAATAGAAATAATAATTTGAATTTCCGTGTGAATATTAATAACTAATTGTGAAATTATGTAAATATTTTTTTATAATCTGTTAAAAAAATATAGTTTATTATAATATTACTTATAAAATTCATATAAAAACTAAAATACTATTATATCAAATTTAATTGCAGAATTTACTAAAAATGCCTATAAAAAATCAAAAAGCTTTGGCAATTATGGCCCAACATACAGATTAATTTTATTTTTTTTTTTACAAAAATAAATATTTTTTAATATTTATAATAATTAATTTTATACAGCTATCCCTTTCTTGAAAAATAGAAGCTGAATTAATAGCGGAACGCCTACCGCAGAACATGCAAAATTAGACTATTTCAGATGGTTAAATGTGGGCCGAGAAAAAACAGAGGAGAGAGAGAGAGAGAAAGTACCGAGGATGTTGGGGAGGGGGCGGCGCCGGCGGCGATGGAGGCCAAGAGGCGCTCGGAACGGAGCAGAGCGAGGCTATGGGTGGGGTGAAGCACGCCGGAGAGCTGGTAATGGGCCTCGACTCCGGCGAAGG